TGCTAAATACCATTTTTGTTGTGATATTTTAAGTTATGAACCACAAGTGCACGACGTTATTATAGAACTCCAGCGTGTACAAGTTGATCCCACAGGCAGTGCTGTAAGAAGATCAAAGAAATGACTTAGGCGAACTAGGAGAAATAATTAAAAAAATAATAATTGAGCAGGCAAAATTATAAATAGTAAAAATAGATGATGACAAAATATTAATGAACATTCAAGATTAATCCACTAGGTCACATAAACACATCTAGTTGCAATTGTCACTCACTTTTAGTCTCAGATTATACAATTAATCATTCATTTCACAAGCATAATTATAAAAGAGTAATCCGTAATAAATTAATTGATTAAGTAGTGATATAAAAAGCCCAAAAACAATCTTAAGTAGTAGTACTATATTTTCTTATTGTTCACCAAAAATAAATTATGAAGATATTCAAATCAACTATAATATACTAAAATGAATCACCACAAGACATAAAAAAATACCCTACATAAGCATGATCAAATTAAAACAGCAGAGATTAATTGCTTCTAGGCGTGCTAATGGAGCTAGTTTTATAATCCTAGATGTAAAAGAATTTACCTAGCCATGATAACTAAATCAAAAACAAAAACAAAATAAACTGAACATGCATAATAATTGTAATGATTACCAATGACAATTTTGTTAGTTGAAAAATGCAAGCGTACTAAGAAATTAAAAAACTAGATTCTGACCTGTTGGGATTAGGCCCAACGCCTACTTCGGGCCATATATAACAAGCCCAATTATGCACACACAGGCCCAAGAGGAAGAGACATGCCCGCGTGAACAACACCACGTGGGCCACTGAATTACTTACATGTAGTTATGCATGTCAGCATTTGGGGCTATAAATACCCCCCAACCACCAACAATGAAGGTAATTAATCTCTACGATTCTCTCTCTGTAATTACTCCTGGAGAGCATCCCTCTCTAGGATATTGAGTATTGCTGACTTGAGCGTTGGAGTGTTTTCCTCGAGGAAACAACCTCGGGATTTTCAGGTGTGGAAGCAGCTGAGGACTTCAACAGTGTTGGACTGCGAAGCTGCCCAAACATTTGGCGCCGTCTGTGGGAACTGAACAAGAAGTTGTGTAACTTAACCTGCTGAAAGACAAAATGGTTCGAACTTTTACAGGAGGTCGCCCCCCAAGAAATGAGATGGACGAACAGGAGGATGCTCAAGTATCTGAGCCCGGGTTGAATGACTTTAGGCCAATGCCAAGAAACCTCTTCGTCGGGGGAGCCGAACAGGATCACCTGAGTGAAACAGATGACGAAAGAACACTAACTGGGTATGCAACCCAGCCTGAACAGTTCCAAGTTCCAACAGGAACAAGACAAAGACCTTCTAGACCATACAATTCACAGCATAAACGACCTGAAAGGTCAACAGAACCTGCTCGGACAACCGAGCTCGAAGAGAGAACCAGAGTTCTCGAAATGGCAATGGGTAAAATCCTTGCCCGTCTGATTCCTGATGACCCCTTGATTCCTTTGTTGAACAGGGATGCACAACCAGCTGCGGTTGTTGCAACTCGAAACTCCTCCGCTCTGAGCAACATAGTGGTGCCGACCAGGCCAAGGGGAAGTGGAAAGCTGAATATCGAGCCCAGCTCATCCAAGCACAGCGAAGAACTGTTGAGGAAGAACGCAGACCTTGAAAGGCAGCTACGAGATGTACAAAAGTTTATAGACGAGCTGAAAAGTCCCAGGTCATATCAGCAAACTCTTGATTTAGATAGCGCCCCATTGAACCTATCCATCACAGCAGAACCGTATCAAGAGGGGTTCAAAATTCCCCATTTAGAGACGTATGATGGCTCGGGCGACCCGGATGAACATCTGCACACTTATCAAGCCATCATGAGAATCCAAAATGCCAATGATGCCATGATGTGCAAAGTGTTCCCAGCAACACTCAAGTCAACAGCCAGGAGATGGTATCACAAACTCCCCAGACATTCCATAGACTCATACTCCCAGCTCGCCAAGCTATTCTCCAACAAATTTGCGAGCCAAAGGGAGATTAAACGTACAGCGACTGAACTAATGCAGGTTCATCAGAAAGAGGGAGAGTCTTTGAGGGACTACATGCAACGATTCAACAAAGCTACTTTGGACATTGATAACGTCCCCGATACCATTTGCTTATCTGCCTTGTTGCATGGCCTGAAGCCTGGCTGGTTTTTGGATGACCTGCTGGAGAATCCACCCAAGTCGTGGAATGAAGTAAATGACAGGTCGGCAAGCTTCATATTGTCCGAAGATTTTCAATCTTCTAAGAGACGAGCTGATGACAGGCAAGGAAAAGAACCCAAGCAGCTTGAAAACAGAGATGATAAGAAGAAACAGAAGGTTGGCGAGCAGAGAGGGAAACCACCCTCTTATCCAAAATATGACAGCTACATCCCCCTGAGCTCGTCACGATCCCAGATATTGTCGCAGATACAGCATTGGGTCAAGAGACCCCCTCCGCAAACGCATGATTCTTCACGAGCTGACAGAAGCAAATACTGCGACTATCACCGTGTCTACGGCCATAACACAGAAGACTGTCAGAGTCTGAAGGACGAGCTCAAATTCTTGGCTCGCAATGGAAAATTGGAGGGGTACGTGCAGAAGCCTTTTGTTCGGCAACCCACCCAGACCCACTTTGTACAAGAGTACGGTCGATCTCAAGCACCTGGGTATCAGCTCGGTAGCAATCCAAATTCTTACCAGGCGGGTTCGTACTCATCTGAGCCGACCAGAGCATACAGGGGACGCTTGTTCAATAGGCGTGGGCAAGGACAGAAAGCACCTACGCAGAACCAAAAGGACCACAGAGGGGTTGGGTATGGTGGAATACCCCCTCCATCTGGCATAATTAATATGATCTATGGTGGTATGCACTCAGGGGGCCAGAGTGCTCGAGCCTGCAAGGCATATACTCGCCAGGTGATGACAGTTAACAAAAACAGGCCCTTGAAGCGGCCGTTCGAGGAGGCAGAGTGGGAGAATGCAGCTATCACATTCAGCTCGGCAGATTATAAGCGAGCAGATGGAGAACCCGACGTTATGATGCCTCACGCAGATCCATTTGTCGCAACGATCTATATAGGTAATCATAACGTCAACAAGGTCTTTATTGATACGGGCAGCTCGCCAGATATCCTTTACTGGAGTTGCTTCCAGAAGATGCAGTTGAACCCGAGCTCGCTGCAGAAACATGAAAGACCCATCTACGGGTTCGATAATCAGCCCGTCCCAGTGGAAGGGGTCATAACTCTACCCATCTATGTGGGCTCAGAACCACGCTTCAGGATGGCCTTAGTCAGCTTCCTGGTCGTCAAAATGGAGTCAGCCTTCAATGCCATATTAGGAAGGGCTACTCTGTGTGAGCTGAAGGCTGTTATTTCACAACCCCATCTCTGCATGAAATCCCAACGCCTCAGGGGGTAGGGGTGTTAAAGGGGAACCAGAAGATGGCCAGGGCATCCTACCAAGATACGTTTAAGAAGGTTGAGCTCGCTGTAGCCCCGAGAGGCTCTGAAAGTAGTAGGCCGACTCAGCCCGGCCAGCAAACAATGAGCATATCGGACATCGAGCATAGACCTGAGGGTGTCGAGCAGAAAGCAAAGCCGGTAGAGGAGGTAGAAACCGTTCCTTTAAACCCTGATGTGCCGGAAAGAACAGTCAACATTGGCACCAAGCTCACAGAAGAAGAGCGAGCAGAACTTCTGGAGTTTTTGAGGGTCAATCAAGATGTGTTTGCGTGGATCACGGATTAAATGCCTGGCATCCCGGCGGAGTTGACAATCCACAAACTCAACACGGACCCCACCAAAAGGCCGGTGGTGCAGAAACGTCGCCTTTTTGGCCCTGAGAAACAAGCTGCCATAGACGAAGAGATACGAAAGCTGCTACAGGCAGGCTTCATCAGGAGAGTGGAGTACTCTGAGTGGGTATCTAACCCCATGCTCGTCAAAAAGCCAAATGGCAAGTGGAGGATGTGTATTGACTTCACCAACCTCAATGAGGCATGTCCAAAAGACCCTCACCCCCTGCCAAACGTCGAGAAGCTAGTAGAGCGAGCAGCCGGGCACGAACGGATGAGCTTCATCGACGCCAGCTCAGGTTATCATCAGGTTTAGTTGCTGTTGGACGACCAGGAGAAGACAGCTTTCTACGCTGGTGACGCGATCTATTGCTATGTGATGATGCCATTTGGCCTGAAAAATGCTGGCGCCACATATCAGAAGCTGGTACAAATCATCTTTAAACTCCAGATCGGCCGGAACATAGAAGTTTATGTGGATGACATGATTGTCACCAGCGTGCGAGCTGAGGATCATATAGACGACCTGAGTGAGACCTTCCAGAACTTGCGCCGAGCCCAAATGAAGCTGAATCCCCTGAAGTGCACGTTCGCTGTAGAATCAGGAAAATTCCTAGGGTACGTGGTATCCAAGAAAGGAATTGAAGTAAACCCAGAGAAGGTTCTGGCCATTCAGCAGATGGCGGACTGTAAAGGATGTGCAGCGCCTGACAGGTCGTGTAGCCGCGTTGCATAGATTCATAGCCAGGTCGGCGGAAAGGTGCCTATCGTTTTTCAAAGCCTTGCGAGAGCCCAAGCATTTTCAATGGACTGACGAATGTCAGCAGGCGTTTGACGAGCTCAAGCAGTATCTGGCATCCGCACCACTGCTGTCCAAGCCTGTGGAAGGGGAGAGTTTATATCTATACATGGGGGTTACGAAGGAGGCAGTGAGCTCAGTCTTGCTCAGGGAAGACAATAAGAATCAGAAGCCCATCTGTTACGTGAGCAAGGTTTTACAAGGTGCAGAGCAGAACTACCCATTAGCAGAAAAGGCTGCCTTTGCCCTGGTTTACACAGCTCGTAAGTTGAAGGCTTATTTCCAATCACATCAGATTGTTGTCTATACCGATTTGCCATTGAGAAAAATACTGCAGAAACCTGAACTCTCTGGTCGACTTATTGGGTGGAGCGTCAAGCTGAGTGAATATGACCTCAAATTTCAGCCACGCACAACCATAAAAGGCCAGGCTGTGGCAGACTTTCTGGTGGAGTGTATCTCAGCAACTAAGGAAGAAAAAGCACCCGAACACCCAGTCTGGGTTTTGTATGTTGATGGAGCTGCTAACATTGAAGGATCGGGTGTAGGGGCTGTGTTAGTGGGCCCAGATGGCTTTAAGTCTGAGCACGCACTAAGGTTTAAGTTTCAGACGACTAATAACGCTGCAGAATATGAAGCCCTCATTTACGGACTGAAGCTGGCGTCCGAGCTGAAGGTACAAAGCATTCAGGTTTTCAGCGACTCCCAACTCGTTGTGGGCCAAGTGAATGACAGTTGTGAAATCAGGGATCCCCAGCTCGGTCGTTATGCCTCTGTGGTCAACAGATTGAAGTCAATATTTATCCTTTTCCAAATTGATAAAATACCAAGAGCAGATAACCACCGAGCTGACGAGCTGTCAAAGTTGGCCTCCTCGCAAGACTTTAACCCTCAGAGATCGACAATTGTCGAGATACTCGACGCACCGAGCTACACTGATTCCATAGTCGAGTGTCAGCTGCTAAGCACAGATCCCTCTGCACCGAGCTGGACCACCCCGCTCATAAATTATCTGCAAAGTGGTGAGCTACCTGAAGATCCGTCTGCTGCCAAGTTGATTAAACGCAGGGCGGCTCATTTTACTTTGATAGATAATCAGCTCTAGAAGCGGGCAGCCTCTATGCTCCTATTACGCTGTCTCACTCCTTATGAAGCTGAATATGCTGTGAGAGAAATCCATGAAGGAGTATGTGGCACGCACATTGGAGGTAAAACCTTAGCTCGTAAGCTCCTGAGGCATGGGTATTACTGGCCGACTATGGTTGAGGATGCACAGAACTATGCCAAAAAATGCCCGACCTGCCAGTTCAATGCTGATGACATTCACTTGCTAGGTATCTGAGCTCGTTCTGAAGTTTGTGCAAACTCCATGCTTGTCTGTTAACTAAGCATAAAATTCTATGTTGAAACAGGAGAAGCGCTCTCATCACTCTCATCTCCCTGGCCTTTTGCTCAATGGGGAGTCGACCTGCTCGGCCCTTTTGTGAAAGGAAAATGAGGTTGCACGTACCTCGTTGTTGCAGTGGATTACTTCACAAAATGGATAGAAGCCAAACCCCTATCCACGACGACAGAAAAGAAAATAGAGGAATTCCTGTTCAATTCAATATTATGCAGGTATTCTCTGGTGACTTAAGCTATTGGCACATTGTATATAAGTACAATTTGCGGCTCAGCTTGGTTATCTGTTTTCAGGTTTGGCATACCTAAACGGATCATCGCTGATAATAGTCCGCAGTTCCGAGCCGCTGCACTGAGGTCGTTCTGCAACGACTATGGCATTGAGCTCTCCTTCACGTCTGTATATACTCCTCAGTCAAACGGACAGGCCGAGTCCGCTAATAAGATCGTCTTGTGGGGCCTCAAGACACGTGTTTTAGCCGAGCGTCCTAATTGGGTTGACGAGCTCAATAAGGTGCTTTGGTCTTGTCGCACTACGCCCAGCTCGGCCACAGGCGAAACCCCATTCAGCCTTGCTTATGGAGCTGAGGCCGTCATCCCAGTGGAGGTCGGATTGCCCTCTGATAGAGCAGGTCGGCACGACGATGTTAACAATGAGCAACTATTGAGAGAAAACTTGGACCTTGTGGAAGAGGTCAAGGAGATGTCGCGAATAAGAAATGTGGCGCATCAGAGTCGTGTGGCAAAATTTTATAATAAGAGAGTTCGAGCTCGCCAGTTTCAGGTCGACGATCTGGTTCTACGCAAAGCAGGACTAACCAATGTTTATTCGCACATGGGCAAGCTCGCTCCTAATTGGGAAGGTCCTTATAGGGTTATTTGTGTTAAACGACCTAGGTGTTACCAGTTAGCAGATTTACAAGGTCGTTCACTACCATTCATTTGGAATATACACAACCTTAGAAGGTTTTATAGTTAGCATTCCGATGTCATTATTTTAATTTAGGTTATCCTCAATTAAATGTAAAGAACAGTGTATAAAACAGCACACAGCAATATACACAGAATTTTGAAAGAAAATATGCGAATTTATATTCCATCAATGAGTGTTTACATGTGTAGTACATATGAAATGAGTTCATTGATTTACATGGAAATACAAAAGAAAAAGTAAAAATCGTAAGCTAATCATCCGTCAGGTCGACGGGGATGGATGCGTCGTTTGGGGCAGTAGCAGATCGAGCTGGTGATGACCGATCTGGAGGAGGAAGGGTAGGAGAGCGAATAGGAGTAGCGCCTGGTGCAGGCTGAGGCTGAGCAGAGCGGGGAGTGCTGGAAGGCTCAGCAGGCACATCATGGGGGTCTGCCACCCAAGCATCGAAGCTCGGCAACCCCTCCGTGTCCTCTCCCTCCTCAACGACAGAAGGTGGCCATACGGGCAGCCCCTCTTCGTCAAGCTCCCACTTCAGTTTCACCTTGGTGTCAGCTGGCTGGGTGAGGCTCTTCCCGTCAGCGTCGATCTCCTTGCCCTCGAAGAAGGCCAGCTCGCCAATGGGAAAGTCTGCCCGGACTCCCAGCACCTTTCCACGAACTTCGTTGAAAATGTCCGTGGTGGTGTTGGCTGAAGCCACTGCTACGGCGTCCTGAAACATTTCTGCCCCCACCAGCCACTCAGCCCCTTGCGCACGGGCAAAGCAGACGTCGCGCTGGTGGAGTTTTTTGGTCCTCTCCAAGGACGCCTCAGCCCGGGCGACATGCTGATCAGCTAGTGACACCCTCTCTCTCAGGCCGCTGAGCTCGTGCAGAGTCCTTTCCTTCTCAGCTTCTGCCTTTTTGGCCCGGTCCTTCGCACGGCCGGCCTCCTCCTTTGCAGCTTGAATGCCGCTCTCCTTCTCAGCCCGAGCTCTGTCCAGCTCCTCCCTCAGCTCCGTGACCTTGCGGGCCAGCTCGTCAGCCCGGCTTTCAGCTGACGCCGCTCGGTTCGCCATCTCCGAGCTCTGCAAACGACTGACCTCGTCAGTCAAACTAGCTTTTTCAGAGGCCAGTTGTTTGCAGTTTTGCTGGAGCTCGTTATTCTGCGCCCTCGCCCCCTGCTCGCACTCGAAGAGTGCGACAGTGTAGCTGAACACCTACAATACACGTTCACTCGTCAGTTTATAGCAAAAACATGGTAAAATGCAGTAATGAACTCGCCAAGTATACTTACATCCATCAGCTTTATTAACGCAGCATGACCTCCATGCTGCTGAACGTGCCCCTTTGCACGCAGCCGGTCTGCAGGGGGCACAAAGTTCTGCATACCCTGCAGCATAGCAGTCTGGCACTCAGTCCGGGCGTAACTGAAGCCGTCCGGGTATGCAATCCTTGGCCCCCCCACAGACGTCGAGGTTGGTGCGGCCTCAGCAACCTCACGAGCTAGCGCTTGGGGCACGCTGGAAGGTCTCGCAGCAGCGGATGCGGCGGGCTGCGAGCTGGTGCTCGTCCTACGCCGTATGAGTGGCACGTCATCCTCTGCATCAGTGTCCGCGTCTTCCCTCGAACGCCTTCTGGAGCTGGAGGGCGCAGGCTCGACTCTCTGCTCGGCACGCAGCCTCTGTGCCGAGCTGGAACTTCTGTGCTGTGAGCTGCGCCCCGGTGCAACAGGTGGCCGCTCGTCAAAACGCGACTGACGCTGGGAGCCGGACCCAGCTCCCCGGCCCCGTGAGCCTTGTGCTCTCTGGCGCTGCCTCTCCAGAATGCTGCTCATCTCTCCTGCACAAATCAAAGCATAAGATTCAGGTCGGCTAGAAATCCTGCTATGTTATAGAAATATACCTTCCCCGTGAAAGTTTGCCACGTCGACAACCCAAGAAGGGCGATCTGGTCCGGGGTAACCAAGGCCTCCAAGTCCACCAAACCCCTCGCCTTCACATAATCGAGCAGCCGGTTCTTCAGGTCGACATCACCACTGGTCAGCTGGGGGTAGTTCATATATGTGTTCGGCGTACGCCATTCTGACAGACGGGCGGCCAGCTCGTTGTTAATCCTGTCAGTTCGTGTATCCCGCACGAACACGAACTGTCTCTTCCACCTCGCCACCTTATTTCTAATATTGGTGAATATCATCATCTTCTCCCTGCCCGAGATGTAGTACCACCTCATCCCACTGGTAGACGGGCACAAACGGCACAGGAAGAGCGACCTGAAGACCACCGCCTTTGCAGGCATCCCCAGCCTTTCGCACAACAGCATAAAGCCTATGATGAACTTTATGCTGTTGGGAGTAAGTTGCGAAAGGGCCTGCTCGTACTCTGCCAGGACGTCAAAAATTAGTCCGGGCAGAGGAAAACGTAGACCGGCGTCAAAATGGTCTACATATACTGGCACCCAGCCCGTCCGCGACACTGAGCACGCCCGCTCGTTCGGTGTCCCAGCTCGGATCAGGATGGTTCTGGGGATCTAATACCTCCTCACCATCTCTTCTAATTTCCGGCGCGGCGGTTCTGGGCGAATCCTGCAACTCCGGTGGCACTATCATCGCGATAGGCTCCACGGATATCACGTCAACGTCCTCCTCTTCACCTTGGTTACCTCGGAACCCTTATGCATCGTGGAAAGAGGCCATTTTTACCTGAGTAAGTTGAAGGTGAACGTGCTTTCGCTGGAAGTCTGGAAAAATGGTCGTGAACGTCTCTGCAATCTTCTTTGAAAAACGTACGAATGTGTTTTGCAATGAAATGAAAAGAAATGACAAACTCTTTGTTTTGTTTTGGCCGTTCAGATGGTGCTCCGTAAACGCCATACGCGTGTTTACAGCCCCCCAGTTAAGCGTGTCCACGTGGCAACCATTTATGGTTAAAAACCCAAAACGCGCCATTTGCAGCTGTCACGTCCCCTCAAATGCTGAGCCAGCATTTATTGCGGGGAGGCAAAAGGGTATCTGTTAAAATCAGAAGAATACCAAACGCCCTGAGCAAATCTCCTCAGAGATTCGCGACAATTGTTGAAAAATCCGAAGGATCAGATCGCGACAAACTTCAATGATCAGCTCGTAACAAATTCGAGACTTAGGCAAATCTCCTCAGAGATTCGCCACAGTTCAAAATTTGAAAAGTCTAAGGGATCAGCTCGTAACAAATCCGCGATCTCCTCACAGATCTGCCATAATTCAAAACTTGAAAATCCCGAGGAATTAGCTCGTTACTAATCAGAGATCTCTTCAGAGATCCTAAATCCGAAAAACCTCTGGCGGTCAGGTCGCACAAATCATGGATTCACCTCAATTTCGGGCATCGAGCGCTAGACTGTAACCAACTTCCTCAGAGTTGCTCTGTATCCCAGAGATCTATATTGAAGTGGAGTGAGGTCGCCCACCTCGGCCCGTCTAGTTTCTGTTCGTTCAGCTCGTTCACCATCTACTCACCTCCGCTCTGCGGCAGAGGATTCATTGTGCAAGAAGGCCGGCATACACTTGCACATCCGGCCAGGCACGATGTCTTCAAGCCGCTCAGGTCGGCCATACGTGAGGTCGTCCATGAACACAAATCGTCACTCCTCATCTTTTGGGCCAAATGCTGTGCTAGCAAGCCTCTCCATCCAGTTCGTCAACCGAACGCTGAGGGGGGAGTAATGTTGGGATTAGGCCCAACGCCTACTTCGGGCCACATATAACAGGCCCAACTATGCACACACAGGCCCAAGAGGAGGAGACATGCCCGCGTGAACAACATCACGTGGGCCAATGAATTACTTACATGTAGTTATGCATGTCAGCATTTGGGGCTATAAATACCCCCCAACCACCAACAATGAAGGTAATTAATCTCTACGCTTCTCTCTCTGCAATTACTCCTGGAGAGCATCCCTCTCTAGGATATTGAGTATTGCTGACTTGAGCGTTGGAGTGTTTTCTCCGAGGAAACAACCTCGGGATTTTCAGGTGTGGAAGCAGCTGAGGACTTCAACAGTGTTGGACTGCGAAGCTGCTCAAACATGACCGAATAAAAATATATATTTCTTTTTCCCTCTTTAACAAAGTAGAAAAATTTTATTTACAAGTAATATGCTTATTTTGCTGCTACTCAAGAAATCGAACTCATCAAAAGTAATTGAAGCATGAATCAGCAAAATTAATTAATGCTGAAAAACAATGGAATTACAATCAAAACATATTAAAGGAATAAAGCAGAACCACCAAAAGTGCAAGAAGAATAAATGAAACGGATGAACAATGGAAGCATAAAAAAAATGTGTACTTATATATATACAAACTTTTCATTGCAAAGTAAATAAAACCATTTCTATAGGAAAATAAAAGAAAGGAGATTATTGCAGAGAAGAAATCAAATTTGAAAAGTGTTTCATGGTCCCCTCCGCTGTCACTACAGGAAGACAAAATTCCTTCTTTTTTTTTTTCTTTTTTTTTTTTTAAATTTTTTTCTAGTTCTGTGTTATTCTTTCTAGCTTTAGTCCCTAAATTAATAGAATCCGTTAACTCTATATTAAAATGAGAATAAAATAGTTATAGAATCAATTCTTAAAGATTAAAAATATTATAATTTAGTTTCAAAAGTTTAAAAATTAAATAAATTAATAAACTAAAAAGAATGAATAGATGGCTTTTTCATATACACTAGAACATTATTGGATATTTATAAGCAAATCAAGCAATTAGCTCAATTTGAAGAAAGAATTCTGACTAAGATTAAAATATATTTCTTAAATGAATTAAAATAAAAAATTCAAGAGAATAAAAAAATATAATCAAGAAATTTTCTTTAATCTCAATCAAAATTTTCTTTTAGATTGAGTTAATCACTCAATTTAATTATAGATATTTAATATTGTTCTTGTCTATATGCCAAAACCATACACTAATTATTTTTAATTTATTATTTTTAAAATTTTTTAATTTTTAGAATTAAATTATTACATTTTAATCTTTGAGGATTAGTTCTATAAATATTTTATTCTCATTTTAACAAACAGTTAAAGGATTCTGTTAGTTTATGGGCTAAAATATTAACATTTTTAAATTTAAATGCTAAAAACTTTATAGTGTACGGTAAAGGATTAAAAATTTCAAACTTATTAAGGTAAAGGATTAAAAATTTCAAACTTATTAAGGTAAAGGGTTAAATGCATATTTTAATAAAAAAAATTAGTCCCATTTGGTAGATAAAAAATTAATAAACAAAAGTTAAATACTTGATCATTAGGCAATTAATGGTCAAATTTAACAAAAATGTAAGTGGCATCCAATTAAGGGTGACATTGAACCAAAAATTGTAGTAGCGGGATGACATTTATATTATAAGTAAAGTAGAGGAATGACATTGAACATTTCCTTAGTAGAGGGATGGTAATGAACATGTAATATCCCAAAATTTTGGGGTATTTTAGCATTAAATTGGGGACTTATTTGAGGGAAAATATTGTTTTGGGGCTTAATCGTAAAATTTTTAAAAGTGAGGGACTAAAAAGAAAGGAAATTAGGATAAGGATGAATTACTTTTTCTTTTTTCTTTTTCCTTTCTTCTCTTCCTCACCAGCCGCGTGTTTCTGCTCCTGCTCCTCCCCGATGCTCTGCCCCCCGACCCTCTGCACCCGAGAAGCCCCCCAACTACCGCCACCCATTTTTCCGGCCAGAAATCCGACAAAGCTTGGGGATTTCTCCCTATTTTCTTGTCTTAGAACACCTGTTGAACCCAGAAAATCTTAGATCTGCGTCTTCCTCCCTCTGCTGTCCGTCGGCTGCTATGTGGGTGTGAGGTTTTTGGGCTTTTTCTGGTAAGATTTAGCCATGAATCCCTCTCTTTAACTTTGATTTAGGTTGGGTTTGGTTTAATTGCTTTTGTTCCTTCCAATTTTTGGGTAGCCGCGAGTTCCCCTGCAGAATTTCTTCTTCTCTGCCGTCGGCTTCACCCCCCCCCCTGCTAGGCTCGGTTTTGCTTGCTAAATTCTGGTAAGTAGCCATCTTTTCCAAGCTTAAAATGACCCATTTAATGGCTGGGTTTTGTCTATTAGTTGATGCTCTGTGTTGTCCGAATCTGCTGGAATAGGGGATGAATTTGGCAGCCCTTTTAAATGTGTTTTTGTGCTTGATTTATGTAGAATTAGCTTAATTTGGCTGCTGTGAATTTTATAAAGAAAACCCCGTGATTAGCTAGTGTTTTGGCTAATGTTTGGAAGTGGCAGTACTGTTCACGTCGTGAGCACTGTTCACGGGTACTGTTCACTGGGTACTGTTCACACACCGAGGGTTAACGATTAACGGGATTTAAAGGTTTAGTTTGTGATATAAGAATGAAATTGGAGATGTTCAGTTATGTGGAGATTGATAGAAATAGCACTGTGATTGGGGGTAGTGTTGATGATGATTT